GGCGATGGGGGGATGGGGGCCGGGGGGACGGTCCCCAAACCGCTGGCCTCGCATCGGACCCCCTTCCACTCACCCATGCACCTAGGCGAGAGAGGAGCTGGGGTGAGCCTGGGGTGCCGCTACTCCAGGGCAGGGCTGGCCCCTTGGAGGCCGGGCGGTGCCTGAAGCTCTCAGGGGCTCCGAGCCCATTTCCCAGTACAGCTCAGCTGCCTCCCCCGAGGCAAGCCCTTCCCAGCACGTCTCCCTCCTTCTTCCCGGGAACCCCACGCCCTGCGCTCCGGGACTCACCCCAGCGCTCTGCCCTCTCATTCCCGTCACTTGCTCGTGTTTCCTGGAACGGCCTGCCGTCCACCCCTCCTCCGCCCCACCCCGCCTCGCCTTTCCGGAACCCTCCCGTCAAAGTCGCCATCTGATCCCTCCAGCTCCGGCTGGGCAGGCCTGGGTGGCCCCCTCCCAAGCCGCCATTTCCACACCGCCCGTAATTGCATGCTGGTTTTTAGCATCTGGCGTAGCTTCCCCATTCATTTCTCAGCCATCATCCCCCCACACCTCTGCAGCCTTTAGTGTCTTCAGAGCCGACACTTACTCACCTCAGCCATGGCTACCCACTCCTGTCACACATGGGCTAATCCTCCCACACTGCTCACTTTCTCAGCTTCTTTTGTAAAATTAAGTTTATTGGGCTGACATTGGTTAATAACATTATATAAGTTTCAATGTACAATTCTGTAATACATATCTGTATATTGCACTGTGTGCTCACCCCCAAAGTCTAGTCTCCTTCCCTCATCATATATTTGACCCCTTTACCCTTTACTACCTGCCCCCAGCCCCAGCCCTCTGGTGAGCACCATACTGTTGTCTGTGTTCATGAGTTTGTTTGTTTCTTTTGTTTGTTTCTTTTGTTTATTGCTTTCTGTTTTATATCCCACATATGACTGAAATCATATGGTTCTTGTCCTTTTCCATCTGACTTATTTGGCTTAGCATGATATTCTCAAGATCCATTCATGGTGTCACAAATAGCAATATTTCATCTGAGTAGTACTACATTATATAAATGAACCACATTTCTTTTCCCAATCATCCACTGAAGGACACTTACAGTGGGGCCTTGACTTACGAGTTTAATTCGTTCGGAGACCGAGCTCGTTAACTCAAATTACTCTATCAACTCAATGCAAAAAATC